TGTGATCAGGTAGTCAAAGTCCATCAAACACAGCTTAACTAGTTCATCTGTTTGGGGTAGCCACGTAAGCTTCAATTTTGTTGTCTTGACGGACCCCTCAAGATTCAAAACCCCTGTGAGTTTGAGGTTTCCATCTTGGTCTTTCTCAATCCCTTTGACAATGGCATTCCCCCAATCCATTAAGGTCACTTCCTCATCTACCTTGATGGACTCTGCATCAGCAGACTCTAGCCATATTGTCCTTGTGTATGTTGTCGCCTTCTCTCCAGCACCTTCGTACTTCTTGTGCCTGGGAATGATGCGAACAAAAGGTTTCTCAGGGCCATTAATCAGCGTCAACAACACTCGACGCTCTTCAACAATCGCAGTATGTCTTGGACATACTGGATCAATTATCTTCTTATTAATGGTCCAGAGTTTGTCCCATTCCATGAGATTGAGATTCTTTGAAGCTCCCTAAAACATAAAGAGTATAAAAATCAGTTATGAAATTAAAACATTCAAAAGAGTGGACATTGTAAACAAATAAACTAGTACCCGGTAAGGAAAAACAATTGGTGTAAGGACATAAGAAGCAGCAGGAAGGCATTATATGTTATTAGGCATAGATCATAACTGCTTTTGTGCATCGTACTAAAACAGACTAGTGTCTTACCTGCTCAAGAATGAATTGTATTAAAGCTTCAACTTTAAGACCTCTGCGCACAATTCCTTGAACAGTTGGAAAACGAGGATCATCCCATCCATTAACCTTCTCATTTTGAACGAACCACAAAAGCTTGCGCTTGCTGAGAAGTGTATAAACCATGTTCAACCTACTAAATTCATATATATGCACTTTTCGCAGTCCCATATCCTCTTGAATTCGATAGTACTGAGCATTGCGGTCGTGATACTCACTAGATCGAAGTGCATGGGTAATACCTTCTATAGAATCAACAAAGGGACATGCAAAATCATAAGTTGGGTATATCTTGTACTTGGATCCAATCCTATGATGTGGCATTGGATTGCAACGATAATAAACTGGATCCCGAAGAGATTTGTTTGGATCCTGCATATCCAGCTTCCCACGGACACAGCACTGCAGACCCCTATCAGAACCAGCAATCATTTCCTTCCATAGTTTTAGATTCTCCTCTACACTGTTGTTTCTACATTTGGATTCAATGCCATCCATCCTTTCCTTCTGCATCCCCTCACGTGGTGTGTCATCAACATATGCCTTACCCTGGCGAATCAAATTCTCAGCCATTTCCATCAACTGAGGGAAGTAATCTGAAGTATAGGTAACCGTTTCATACTTGATACCCAAAGTCTCAATATCCTTGAGAAGATTGTCCACAAACTCATTGCTCTCTTTCGCAGGATTTGTATCATCAAATCGCACAATAAGCTGACCCTGATACCTTTGAGCAAAATACTGATTCAACAAAGCTGCTTTTGAGTGCCCAATGTGAAGAAAGCCACTGGGTTCGGGTGCAAATCTCAGTCGAACCTTTCCCATCTCAGCTTCTGGGAGATCTACTTCAAATGTTGGTCTGCTTCCTGCTTTACCTTTCTCAGATACATCTCCATTTACACTCTTTGATTCCTGACTGGCTTGAGTGCCTTTTGATTTAGTTGCTGTTGGCTTTCCCAAGCCTCTCTTGCCAACGAAGGTAGCTGTGACTTCATTCAGGGCATCACCATGTTCCGCTAATAGTGAATTGAACCACCGAGAAAGGTTTTGGTACTTTTTTGACTTCCTCAAACTTTCCCATCTTTGCCCAGTTCCTGCAAAGCATAGAGTGTTCATTAAGCATATCCAAACAACACTTCCATTTATGTCATATGAATGTTTACATAAAGAAATCCCAGTAATCCATCGTTTGAGACCTATCCTTTTTTGGGAAAAGAAACAATATTATTCAATAAAGAATAAAACACCAACAGAACACGAGATGGCCAAGGAGGCCACCACGCAAACGAAAGGGTAAAAAACTCTACACTACAAAGCTACGGCTTTCCAATCTAGATGGATGAGCTGAAAACTAATCTCCATAAACTCTGCTGTAACAGACGCCCAAAGTGAGGTCCAGACTTGGATACGATCCCAAAGCTGCTCTACCTCGTCCCCAATCACATCCTCAAAGATTCTCCTATTCCTTTCCCCCCATATTACCCAAAAAACTGCCATCATGGCACAATTTCCCAACACTGAACCCTTCCTCTTACCACCAAAGAAGTTCAATCTAGCTTCAAGCACTGCACTACACGATGTGAAGCTACCCCACATTAGTCCTGCCACCTGAAACAACTTAGCCCACAGGGAAGAGGCAATAGGACAAAACAAAAACAGATGATCCACAGTCTCGCTGTCTTTTTTGCATAGAACATGCCAGTTAGGAGAAAAATACCAGCCGGGCCTTTTCCTTTGAACCAAATCAGAGGTATTAATTCTGCCATGAGCAATTAACCAAACTAATAATCTTACCTTAGGAGGGCTTTAGCTTTCCAAAGTACAGAAGGAGAGAAGAGAGATGAGTGGGGATTAACCTGTCAAATAAAGACCATCAGGTGCCTAGAAGGATTTGCAGGAGAATACTCCTGAGGAATCCAACTTCCATGATCTAGTGTCACTTCTGCTTTGAATCAACACAACATGTTCCAATCTTGAGAGCAACTCAGATAATTCTTCAATTTCCTGATCCCTTAAATTCCTGCGAAACCCAAAATCCCAACTCAGAGGGAGGGAATTCATGTCTGTGCAAATATCAGCAATTTTGGCGTTCTGTTTGCGAGAGATTCGAAGAAGGCATGGAAACCTCTCACCCGAAGCTATATCTCCCAGCCACACATCTTCCCAAAATCCTATTCTCTCACCATTTCCCACCTTGAGACGACAGCAAGCAACAAAAGACCCCAACCCTTTAAATATTTCTGTCCAAGGGCAGCAGCTGGACCCATTTGATTTTATTTTAGAATCCCAACCATTCAAATACAACCTGTACTTACTCTTAATCACATCATACCAAAGGGTGTTGGTTTCAGTTTGGAATCTCCATAGCCACTTCCCAAGTAAGGCCTTATTACATTTCCTTTGGTTTCCTAGCCCAAGCCCCCATTTTTCCTTTGGTAAGGACACTACCTCCCACTTCACCAAATGATCCTTCCTGCCTTCCTCCACACCCTCCCACAGGAAGTTCCTCATTAGCTTCTCCAAATGCTTTGCCACACTAGCAGGAATTCGAAACAAAGATAAATAGTAAATTGGTAGGCTACTCAGCACTGCTTGAACTAATGTCAGTCTTCCCCCTCTGGATAACAAAGCCTTGCTCCATCCTTCTAACCTTCGTTCCACTCTCTCGATTACTGGGACCCAAAATGGTAAGCTCCTTGGTTTTTCCCCGAGTGGTAATCTAAGATAAATCCTTCAATTTCTAATTCTTCACACAACCATGGCAAACAAATATAAAAATTAAAGAGGTAAAGAGAGTGAGAGAAGCAAAGCTATACCTGCAAGACCTGACCAGATTGCTATATCGGCAATGGAAAAAGAGTGATCAACGAAAAAACTTCGGCTCCCCAAATAGTCATCCAAATGTTTCAATGCATTCTCAAACGCAGAACCCTGTGAAAGCACAGGCGCGTACTCAAGCCACTCATCAATCTGGGCAGCTTGGATTGCATTCTCCCCATACAAGTTAGCAATTCGACCGATATATCGCAGAAGCACAAAAGTTCCATGCAATTTCAACCTAAAACGAAGGACGAAGAAATACATTCAACCAAGCTTGAAAACGGAGAATAGTACAAACAAATCAATAGCACAGTAGAAATAGGTATTAGGGTTTACCCATCGGAGAAGTGCAAAAGATGAGGAGAATCAGCGGATAGAGAGTTGTCGGTGGAGAGAGAAATTCCGGCTAGCTTGGCCGCCACGAGCACCGAGAGCGGAGGGTTCTCGGCGGCGAACGAAAGCACCTTAATCTCCATCAAAATCAAAAGCTTCAGATTTTGCTCTTTGGATTTGTTGTTGCTGTGCTTCTTGTTTGTCAGAATCGAAAGCGGAGGGTTCTCTTGATTTGTTGTTGCTTTGCTTCTTGTTTGTCAAAATCGAAAGCGGAGGTTCTCTTGATTTGCTGTTGCTTTGCTTCTTGAGCTTGGCCGCCGCGACCTAAAGCTGAACTTAAAACAGAAGTATGGGCCTAGCCGATTGGATCGGTTGCTTCACGGCCCAACTTGTTATTTTTTCATGCTTGCCATTTTTCTCCTGTCTCAAAAAGGAAAATTGTAAAATCAAATTCTTTCCACTTCTCTCAGTTGAATTCGTATAGCGACTTTTTCACAATCCTAATTTTTTTTATAGACCAAATACTCACAAGTGTATTCGACCAAAAATAAAAATACTCGAAAGTGTACAAATTTATAGAAGACAGAAGTTATAAGCAAGAGGTCGAACACAGCAATTGTAGACAAAAAGATAAAAAAAACTAGCTGAACCTAAACAGATTTAGCTCTAATTGATTGTATGAGAAAATTAAACTAAAAATTTAATCCATAATATTAATTTGAAATGATTTACCACAATGATCTGAATGATTATTTTACAAAGAATATGTACTTGTAGTATTATATTGTATTAACGAGCCTTAACATGTAAGACACGCTATAATGGTTTCTTCAATGAAATACTCTTTTTGCACGGATTGTGTTTTTAGGGTTTAGATTTTCTTTGTTGGTCCCTCATATAATAGGTAAGCTTCAAGGATCATAATGTATTTGTATTGTATTGAAAAATATAAAAATTGTAAGTTCGGAAAAAAAAATCATTACATTTTAAGCTAACATAACTAGTCCACCTGACAAAAAATTCATGGTTTCGCGCCAAATGGCTTCCATGGAAGAATAGACGGCTTTAAAGGTCAATATAATGTTGCCAAATCTTTTTTACCATTCCTTTTTCTAGTCTTCTTCACATATTTCTCTAGAGTTGTGCAAATTCATCACAAGGTAAGACCATTTAAAGAACAAGACTGAGACAGGCGTGCATATTTACAAGTTAAAGCGATAATGAATGTTCCAAAGAAAAAAGTACGTTAATTGAAATTATAAGGCATATCAAAGATGCAAACCCTCAACTATCAATCCTTATATAGGCTGTACACTTGAGAATCTGTGTTGTTTTCCGTCGAAAATTGTCTTGGATTAGGACCTCAACTTGTGTGCAGCAGCGAGTTCCACGGATATGATGAAGGTTGCCTTGCCTGCTTCCCTGAGATACCTTACGTCTCCGTTCATGAGCTTCACCAGTCTACTGCTCACGAGCAGGCCAATGCCCTCCTCAGATATGGCTATGTCGTTTCCAAACATCTGGTTCAGCAATCCTTCCGGAATCCCACCACCCGCATGTGTTATCCTGATCCAGAAATGTTATTCAGCATCTCATACTAATCGCTCAACTTGTAATACAAGCAACCCACTTGTACACGAGACCAATAGTAGAGATCAGAAGACCGTTTGTTTGTACAAGATACATGTTAAGACATAGTTCAGACACATCAATGTTGTGAATTTATTTGTGAAGCTTTACCTGAGCTCCAAATGCACAAGATGAACGGATTGTCCTAACTGATCTTTGGTCAAATTGGCTGCAATAGTAAGCTGGCCTCCGTTTGGCATAAAATAAATTGAAACGGCTAAGAAATCAGCTAAGACTTGTTGAAGCCTAAGACTATCCCCATACAAGGTCTCATTCATGATCTCTTCTGCTGCGTCATGGACAATCCGGATACTCTTGGCATTGCTCTTAATCATGACTTGACTGACTGAGGCGAGCAGTACTTCATGCAAAGTGAACTCCACCATTTCCAGTTCCAAGTAGCTGTCAAGGGATCAGAAAACAGAGAATTATTAAGACAACCAAGAATATCATGAAGTAGTTGTGTTAATGTGAGGTTAAAATAGAAAAAAAAAAATTCTCGTCAATGACTGGAATTTATCTTACCCGTCAATGATGGTATCAAGATCCGAGTCATCTAGTATTTTGTTGAGCTGGTGCTGGCACTGGGCACTAGTATGCAGAAGCTGTTTCTGCTCTGTTCCCAACTCAGTACCCTCCATCATTTTCCAAGAAAACATCATACCAGCTAAAGGATTCCGGATCTGCCTTTTAATATAAGACAATTCTTTCGATCTCTTCACAGCAGTTTGTTCTGACAAACGCTGGACATGGAGTGCTTGTTGCAGCTCTGGGCTAGCCAGCTGCAAGAAGCAAAACACCCCAGTGACTGAGCCCTCACTGTCCAATTTCTTGCTCACACACAACAGGCATTCTATGTGCTTTCCACTGCGAGCACAGAAACCAAAAGGAACCTTTTCGGATACCTGACCTGTCATGGCATGGTTAAGTACAATACCAAGATTTACGAAAGCTTCTTGACTCTTCAGAGGACAACAGGCCATGTTGATCCCAAAAACCTCCCCCAACAGCATTTTATCTATTACCTCCTCTCGTTTCCACCCAGTTAACTTCGTCATCGCTGGATTCCACTCAGAACACCAGCCAAATTCATCAGTACCAAATATTGGGGGGATCAACGGGTTTGGGTTCTGTACAATTGCTTTGTAATCACCTTCAATCCGGGTGAACTTGTCCATCACAGTCTTCTGACCAGTGATATCCTGGGCCACAAAACAAACCCCCACAACATTTTCACGAATGTCTCTGCTGGCACAAGCATTCACAACTAAGCTGATGGGACCAAGGTCACTCCTAGAGCCATGTGTTTTTATCTCAAATTGGATGTTTTGTTCCTCTTTGCCTGATCAAAAGAAAAGGAAAAGGATGAACTTAATACAAATAGAAGACTGCAATTGGAAAAAAGATAAACTCACATAAGAATCCAAACATGCATATGTGCTAGTAATATTTGACAATCTAAAAATGCCTAAAGTGTCAAATAGGGTTAAGACATACCATGCAACGCCAAGTCCAACATCCTTTTCACCATTTTAGTTGAAGAATCTTCTACGAGCGTGAGCAAATGCTTTCCAATTGCTTTATCAACAGGAAGACCAGTTAACTCAGAAATTTTTGTATTCCACCCATTAACCAGCCCATCAACATCAACCGCCAAAATTGGAACTGTGGCTGTTTCAATCAAACGGACCATCTCGCTTGTCACTGCTTCCAGTTCTTGCATGCCTTCAATTTTTAGGTCACTAAGCTTTACATGGATTGCGTTGGGGTTTACATCCACAGTTTCAACATCTTTGAATGCATTCCTCAGAATAAGCTGCAAAGAATGAATTGCATCCATTTCAAAGTCCTTCCAAGGTAAGCTCCTTGACTTGACAACTTCAAGGAAAGCCTTGAATGATGATCTAGGGTGCATTTTCCAACCATCATCCTTCTCACCAGATTCATGTTTTGCACCACCCCATCGAATTTCTGCCGCAGCGTGGGATCGAAACCAGAAGAGCATGTCCTTGGCAGTTATCCGCACAGCTGCCATTCCACATACTACATCACCAAGAGCAAGAGCCCCTGGGAACCCTGCGTCATACAAACTATCCGTACTCAAACCTGTGGAATCCATATGGTACTCAGCGAGCCACGAGGCTATGTCATGAAGCTGGAAGTCACTTGGAGTTATACCAAGTCTCCATATCTTGCTCTTGTATAATAGGGCAGCTCCATCACATTTCACTAGATCCATAATATTAGGGCTCTGTGACACAATACCCAAGGGTGCATCTCGTAACAACATATCACACAACAGCGTTTGGGTGCGCAGGATGTTCTTCTCAACCATCTGATCTTCCAACTCTATTTCCTTATTGACATGGATGGCAAATACTTGAGCTAGAAACTCACAGGCATACCTAAGAGGGAAAGGAACAAATCTTGGACTTGTATTATGACATACTACCAAACCCCAAAGTCTCTTTCTTTTTTGAGGCTGAACAGAATCAGGACTGGCTACCTCATCATCCCCCTCGTTAACCACTACTGCCATAACAAGAGATGCAATAGACTCCATATTCTTCATATATTGTAAATGGCAACTATGTGGGGCTCTTAGGGTTGAACCGCACAATGTGAGATCAAATGGAAGCTTCTCATCTTGAAGCACCTTCACCTGTTTTGCACAACAGTCAACAATCATTCGGACCTTATTCTTCATAAATAGGAACCGTGAAGCCTGAGGTATGTCAGTGGATGGATAATGCAAACCCAGATATGGTTCCAGGCCAGGCTTCGTAATCTCAGAGACCACTTCCCCATGATCATCATCATGAAATTTATAGGCCATCACCCTGTCATAACCGGTGAGTTCAAAAACCTCTTGGACCATTGTATCACAAAGCCTCTCCATGCTCCCACTAGGCAAAGACTGCAATCGGGCAATAGCTTTAGCTGCCAGCTTGTATGACTGCAGGGCCCCAGCAGCAGTCATAGGGACTTCATAAGGCTTCACCGGCTCGAAGTCAATGATCAAACTGCCCGTTACTCGATGGGTTATTGCATAAAAAGGCTTGCCAGAGGTCTTGCAATGGACTAAGATGGGATTCAAGAGAGAAACCTCTCCGAATCCAAGGGCCTTATGCAATGCAGAGGCACTAGGGGCAGTGAAAATTGTTCTTATATCTGTTCCTACGCCAAGAACAGGGTAGTCCCCAACGCTTGGGACTGCATGACTGACCATAGTCAGCATTTCAGGGGCATTCTCACTGTATGCAATGACCTTGAAAGTTTTCTCATCCAAGGCTAGCAAGCATCCGAATGGCTGGATCAGCTTGCCTTTCTGTATGTGATGGAGATAAGCAGTGGTCACTTTGTCTGACCTAGGTTGTTGATCCCCTCCAACTGAACCACTAACGCGCACCGAGTTCGAGTAGTCAAAGGAACTACCTGACTCCTCAAAATCAGCATGCAGCTTGGCATCAACAGTTGTCTGAGCAATAATTCTAGCACTGTGTCTAGACCGCCCTGAATTGGTGGATGAGTCGCTGGGTCTTGAAGAAGACATTCTCACATAAACTGAGAACGGAAAAGCACAATTACCTGGAAAGATATAAGAGGCATAACAATATGAACCCCTTTTAAAGATACTGCTAGTATTGATTCCATAAAATAGTTAAGCTGATTCTACTTATGATTGATTTAATCTTCATCACAGCCATCACCATGAGGATCATTGTAATACTAAAAGTAAGAATCAGGCTAACATACTTACAAGACTACATCTACTTTTGAACAGCCTGTTATTATGCGATTCGATACACAATCCTCTTTCTTCCCAAAACATTAGAAAACAAAGGTCTTTGTCCCATTTGCCACAACTGACACAAACAAATGAAACAATACTAACAGAAACCTTACTGAAAGCGAACAATTACTTAAGTCTACGTTGCTTTGGTTGCTTAAACAAAAAATTTAGAACCAATTAGTTCATTAATGGAAACCCAAATGAGAAAAGGTCAAAACAACTAGTAATTAAAGAAGCCAAATTAAATTTATACAGATTATGAGTAAACAACAGTTATAGCATCAAAAAGGAAAAACACCAACGTCCTATAAATAATCAGAACCACATAGCTGCTATTAAACAGAAATAAAGATAGACGAGCAAAGGAATGAAAACAGCCTAACCTTTTTATCTGCAGTCTGCTGAATTCAGTTAGTCTCAGCTGCAAACTGAGTCAAGTGACCCAACTTATACAGAAAACCAAATTGACAGAGAAAAACTTGGGATTGGTAGAAAATGTTAAGATAATATCCCCTGAAGTCTCGAACTTCAATCCCACTAATCTCGATCACAGCCTCCTCTGTCTCCGGACACCAAACCCAGTAGCCAGTAGCAGCACTTAACAGTTAAAGGAGTCGCCTTTAATATAAAAAATTCAAAAGATATACTATTTTAGAAAGCAAAATCCTCAAATGGGTCCACTCTGATACACAAAACGTTGCCCAAGAAATGGATCCAAGAGAGAGCTGTAGCTGGAAAGCTAGCAAGTTCTATAGGGAGGGGTGGGAATGGTTTAGTTCGGTTTCCTTTCCAAAAGGGTAAACAGAGGTGGTTGATGACAACCCATAAATAGATATCATCTCATTTTAATATTCTTGCTGATCCGAACAAGTTTCCCATTCAGAAAATCAGGCGGTTCCCAACTGAAAATTGGAAAGAGAAACCAACCCATTGGCCAGTATATATAGAATATATCAATGGCGTGGTTAAGCATGATGATATTATTTCACTGTGATGAATAAACTAATAAGAAATTAGGCTGGGTCACAGCAGAGTGGTGGAGGAGAGAGAGAAAGAAGGAAAGAGAGAGAGAGAGAGTTGGGATAAGAAAACAAAATAAAAAGGCATGGCCTTTTTTAAACTCGAATAACAACAAAAGAAAGGGTAAGGGGACTTATGGGGGTCACGTGCAGAACCCAATCCTGTTCGCTGTGTTACTTACAGTGTATCAGTGTATTATTATATATCAGATACACGTCTTCTCTCTAGCGTGAGAATACGTATGCCATGTTGCATTGTTGGTTTCGCTCTCAGCTCAGTTATGCGTTGGTCAGTCCCTCTGCACGAGGGTCATCTCTCCTAGCGACCGGCACTCGGCGCAAACCACTAGATTTGGCCCATGCGTGGACGCAGTTGGTGTGTGGGGTCCATCTGTTTGCCTTCTTCCTTATCCTTTTATGGTCGCGTTTGATGGGTGGGGTTACTCCGCTGGTTCGTAGGTAATCAAGTTGGGGACAATATTTATAGGTAGTTAAGTTGGTCTCGTAAATAAAGTGTGGAGCTCTTGCAGAATGTGTGTGTGAAATATTAATGGGTTGGGTCCAAATTAGAAATGGATTTTGATCACACTGAGGCCCATCTTTGTTAAGAGTCTCAAAGATATTATTTGATGACTGAAAGTCTCAAAGATACAGTTTTCAGTTTTCAGCATGAACCTTTCCACCGGCCAAAAAAAAGAAAAAGGGAGCCAACCTTTTCCCTTTTTTGCACTCCATATTCTTAAGAATCTTATAGCAATGAACATTTCTGGATAAACATTTGAACATGATAACTTTTGTCGTTGTTCCCCTCTTCTTTTTTGACAGTGGAGAATTATTTGGTATATACATTTTTGTTGAAAATGTGAGTGCAAGGATGTGAAAATCATTTGTACCAATCTTTGAAAAATGTGATCGATAAATGAAAGAGAAATGCTTGGAAGTGAGCAACTTTTCTTCCCGTCACCATCATGTCTTGGAAAGAGACCAATTTATGCATCATTCATCCATTTTGTACAGGTCGCATCATCATGAGCTCCTACATGTCACCTGTAGTACATTGGAATATAGAAAAATATTATGTCTTCCACATATCACACAGGTAGTTTCTTGATACCATTTACTCAGCATTCTGAACTTGTTTTTGCAACAAACCCGATCGATTTGACATTGTTATGAAAAAACTTGTTGGCTTTGCCTGTTCATTTAACCAGAACCAACTCATTCCTGTGAACTACGAATTGACTTCCAGAAAACACAACTAGTCTTAGCTCTCAAGGATAATTTAGTATTGCATCAAACAATTCATAGTTTTAAACTGCTTCTTTCAGAAAGCAAATACATATCTGACATCAGTCTAGCTTGCATAAATTTAGGCAACAAAACATCCAAGGGGTTAATTTCAGATCCACATACATCCCATTGGGCAAAAAGAATGTCTTTGTTGCTGTTAATGGCTCATACCATCACGTGGCCGTAATAGGCCTAGTCACCTGCATACCGACCCGATTATATATGATATCCTCGGCATCGACAATAAGCTCCTTAGGCAAAATATGACGAAGCAAGGATTAGACCAGTGCTCGGGTGTTCAATCACCGACCTGACCACTATGGCGTCATGCCCAACCAAAGGTGCATTAATGAACAGCCTGGCAAGCAAGAAATGTCAATTAATGCACATCCCATCCTTGACCAGGTGTCGCCTTACCCTTTGATCTTCGGATGAACAAGCTAATGATGGAGAGAGGTCATTTAATATACCTCACATCCTTGTTTGCCTGTCACTTCACCACCTAATCCCTGTCAAGTAGTATGGTGATCAGAAACAGAACATTAAATGTAACTCAGGCTAGGGGGATAAGAGAAAAGATCTCTTCCATAAATATCTTGGCCTCTCCTTCTTCCCCCTATAAATACCCTTCACATATCTCTGGACAAAGGTAATAAATATTCTTACTTGATAAACCCTACATCCATTCTCTCCACCTTACCACCATATCTCACTTAACCATCGGAGGGAGCTCAACTGGGATCAACCCCAGTTCACTCCTATTCTGATAACTGTTCAAGGTGTGTAGGTCTCCTACGGAGTACACCTCAACCTAGGAGATCCCGTATAGGCCCCGAGATCAGTCCTAATATAGGCTATACATCATACAAGGAGGATACGCAGTTTATAGTTGCAAAAAGGGTGTGCCTTTACAAACATGCTCAAAGTTATTGACCTTGTGCTCTTCCAGCATCCTCCAAAATATCTTGAAAACCAAAGAGATTGAATTGCATCAGCTTAGTGTTTCCAAGAAGTAATAAGGAGCACTGCTAATAAAATTGGTTTTGTAAATTGTAATTGATTAAAAGGCTTAATCCTGCTATAATACTCAAAACCAAACTACAACATGCTTGAAGAGATTAAGTAAGGTGAACTTTTTAGGGAGGAGCTTCACTAATATACTCAAAATAGGGGCTGAAATTATAAATATAAATATAAATAAATAAATAAACCCCCATATGGAATGCACTTTAGAAATACACCCAAACCCATTTACTGCATAAGAAATTGGTGTTGAAGTTCCTATAAATTACGTGACTACCACTGATCAACTTAAAAGAAGCCCAACACAAAAAACTTAAAAAGCACCCGAAACAAGCCCAGCACAATTTTATAAATAAAAACAAACAAACAATTCATTACAAACAAAACGTCTCGAAAACCATAGCTTCATTAATGTATCATGTTGATAATGGCTGTAATGTTCTACACCTTTACTGTCATGTTCATTAATGGTTGTAATGTTCTAGTCTGGGGTAATAACATTGCTAGTTTCCTATGACATCCTATTTCTAATGTATGTCTACCCTTGTAATGTTCTAGTCTAGGGTAATAGCACTGCTAGTTCTTATGACATCCTATTTCAAATGCATGTCTACCCCTGCAATGTTCCAGTCTAAGATAATAACACTGCTAGTTTACTGTCATGTTGATTAATGCATGTCACGTTGCTATTTCTAATGCATGTTGTTAAGACCCAAAAATCCAAGGCTGGGCCCAGGCTTATTTCTAGCCCAGCACAATATTTAACTAAGAGAGGAGCCCAACTGGGACATGCGAGAATTTGTCGGACGCGCCTACACGAGTTGTGGGCCACACGCCACGCCAAGCAAACACACGAACCCGTCACGCAGAAGGGTCAAAACGAGCTTGTAAAACGTACCGGCTCTGTGAACCCCACACTCACTGACCTGTTAAGTGCTATTTGGCACGATCATAGCCTATTACAGCACAGTATAACTCGAGCATGAACATGCTAAATAAACACACGATGCCTGTTGCGTCTACCCAAGTGCAAGTAGTCACACGTAGTAATAATCTTGGAAGTCCAAGTATCGTATCCTCAAGGAGCATGTAGGCAAATGTCTGCACACAAAGAAATCATTAAAAGTACCAAAATAAAAGTGACAAGCAAAATGGACAAGTAATTTGATTTGATTGTTGTAGAGATTGAGTTTAAAAATGAAATATCAATAATGGAAATGCTAAGGCATCAAGGTTCAATTCTTTAAGCAAAATATGTTTCATGCTATTTAATCCAAATTAAACTCGATTAAAATTATCATTGAGAAACTTTAACCGGAAGATAAAGATATTAAAACCAATTTACTTTTTCAATGTTATCTTTTATTAATGATTGTTCAGAAAATGAAGTTGCTTAATATCTAATCTTTTAATTTAAAAGCATGTTAAGTCAGTTCTTAACAGTGAGAAAAATATAATTGAACTCATGAAAAGATAGTAGCACTTAACATCAATCAAAATAAAAGGATATGAAAATATTGAACAACCAAAAAAGCAAAAATAAAAGAATTTAGCAATTCATACCGTATATTGGATTAAAGAACAATTCACAACCTTACTCAAAGGACATTCCCTTTAGCCTTAGCTAGAGTTCTAGCAACTCATTACAAAGGAAAACATAACTAAATTTTGAATGAAATGGATAAAGAAATCTGTCGTCAAGATGCCTTGCCAAATAAGTTGATGGGTGATTTATAGTAGTCAATGAGGTGAGTGGGAAGTTAATACATTTGTGGTAGGTAATGAAAGGTCTAAGTGAGAGATTCATTGGATTAAACATGTGATGATGGTGGAGAGTTGGTGGAAAAGAAATAACGGTGAGGTAGTGGGCGTTAAATGGCTATGAATGACATGAAATAGGCTCTTTAGCTTCAATGGTTTTGTCTTCTCTTTTCCTTTTTTATAATCATAATAATCCCACAATCAATTCTTCAATAAAATCCACCAACAATTCTCTTCACACCTGGCTTGAACTTGGACAAATGTATGTTCATCTTTTGGCTTTCCAACTTCCTACAAAAGATAAATTTACCTAATAAGTTCACCAAATTAATATAGAAAATTCATAAATCCAGTTGGTGAGAATAAAATGTAACAACAAGTGAAATTATGTTTATTAAGCCAAAATTATATCATAAAGTCTCCAAAATAATATTAAAAAGATGTAATTTGAGACTCTCATCAATGCCAGGCCAAAAACCGCTATTCTAACATCAAGTCACGCTACAAGCTCAAGTGGGCCCAAGCCACATGAATACTTGGGGCTTGCTGAGAAGGTTGTGGTATGGATGGGTATGAGCACCCACGAGGCCCATTAAGGGTTCAAGGGATGAAAGTTTTCGGCTACTTGGGAGCACCAAAACTCAAGCTCATTTCTTGGGCCCAAACACATGGATAAGTAATAGAAAGAGAGAGAGAAGGTGGCCCAATGCCTTAGGAGAATATATAATGGTCTGCAACTCTTTGGAAATCCCCACATCAGCTAAAGCATCCAGCACCTCGTCAAAAGTAGAGCAAATAAGCTACTTCCAACAGCTTGACGAAAGTATAGAAGACTTAGCTGACTACTGGAAATAAGATGCCAATAACCCAATGCCTTAGGAAAAAGCCCTGCCCAACGCCTTATAAAAATCTATCATCGTATCCAGCCATTAGAACCAAGTCAAACAGAAGCCATTACAAAGACTAAAGGAAATTCATAGGGCAGG